CCAGGTGACCACAAAACTACCTTTGGTTCTGTCAGAACCCACCCCTGTCCAGAGAAACTTGCGTTTTAAGGGTGGTCTTTTGAATCTGGCGGTCAGCGTACGATGGGCTGCCTACCTCGCAGGCGAACCGGTCCAAAAAAACAGGCGTATCTCACTTAAAATGGCCCGGCGCCGTAAAACTTCACCACAGAGATTGTAAGGGGATTCAGTCTGACCAATCCCAACTATTTCCGGCGATTTTAATTTTTGGCCAAATTTAAAAAGGCCTTTGTGTTTTTATCGAAAATTGATGGGTCCGGATTTTGACGGAAAAGTAGTCGAAACGGCAGAGATGACCCAGGGGACCACAAAACTACATTTGGTTCCGTCAGAAACCACCCCTGTCCACAGAACCTTGCGTTTTAAGGGTGGTCTAATCTGGCGGGCAGCGTAAGATGGGCTGCCTACCTCGCAGGCGAACCGGTCCAAGAAAAACAGGTGTAACTCACTTGAAATGGACCGGCGGGGTGAAACTTCGACGCAGAGATTGAAAGGACCAATTCCAACCATTCCCAGCGATTTTCAAATTTTTCATTTTTGGCAAAATTTACAAAGGCATGGGTCCGGTTTTTGACAGAGGAGTACTTGAATAGATACCATAGGGACCACAAAACTACCTTTGCTTCTGTCAGAAACCACTCCTGTTCACAGAAACTTGAGTTTTAAGAGCTGGTCTCTCTAAGTATGAGCGGGTAGGCTACCTAAGGCGCACTGGCTAAGAACTCTGCTGTAGTGGGTCAGCACCATGATATTTAGACAGAGCAACTGAAAAGGGAGTTTGCCCGACCAATTCAAACCAATTCCAGCAATTTTCCAAATTGTCAAGACATTTAAAAGACATTTTCAATGATAACACATCAGCCAGGATTTTGATGGAGGAGAATTGAAATAGACAACAAAGAACCAAGGCACCACAAAAAACATCAAAAACTACCCTTTGCTGCACATGAAAGGAAGCTCCTTATGGTGTCTGTACAGAGACAAATTAGACCAGCGTTGGTGATTACTGTCATGTCAACTCACCTATTCTTTTGGGTAAAATGACTCCATAGACTTCTCTTGCTCGTGTCAAGAACATTTCTGGGCCGAATTCCTGCAATCATATTAAACGGTACTTTTAGCGCGTTACATATAATTTACTCATACAGTACACTTTTAAAGGCCTCTCCCCCCATGCATATCTAAATGACCATGGTCTTTCAAATAACTAATTTTGGCACTGGACTAGAAGCATTAAGTACGAAGGGGCAGCTGCAAATTATCTGCAACGCACATTGATTGATTGTTTGCGGGATTACGCAAATAGTACTACTCGGTTTGCACCCCAACCAGAAAGTAATAAAGTTTTCTGTTCCACGAGAATAATATAGAGTAAAATATATGATATGTGATAAAACACTGGCAGTTCACCCCTTTGCATAAGTGACCTACCTACAACAGTATTATACTGCATGGATTGGAGGAGTCTACCCATTTAACACCTTTTCAACAAAGCTGACAGTGAGCCACGTTATTTAAATCACGGGGCATCATTTACTCGGCCTCAAAAAATAACTTACAACTTAATTGTGCGTGTAAACATTGAGACACAGGAGAACACTAACCTCCTACAACAATAACAACAATATTCAATATTCCGGACCGGAAACAATCAAAGCACTATACCTTACGATTAATATCGAGCAGCAGCGATGTCCACTCTAAAATTCTGGTTAAAATCCTATGATCATCAATTATATGAGTAGGTATTATCGGTATTTGGCAGAAACGCCGATCCACACCGATTTTCA